TGCATAGCTTGGATAGCTAAGACTAACCGGCTTTCGTCATTTTTCAGAGGCATCCTTCGTTGTAGAGAAATTTAATATTTAGTGGAGGTGTGGTGGGGTCGCCGGGTTTTGGCCGGTTCGCTTGTTTGGCCGGTTCGCTATACATGCACGTTAGGCGGTATAGATTAGATAGTAGATATACCTACTAGATAGGAGAGTTCTATAAGGATAGTCCTTCCTTTTCTCCTTTTTTTGTCTTATTCTTAGTTTTCTCCCCCCCTTTTCCCCTTATTTTATTTTATAGCTACTTCCTTTCGCGCTACGTTACTTAATACAGCCGAGGGTATTTATTCTTTTCTTTTCACTATATATAGGCTAATTATAAGTACTTGAAGCTAGCCAGCAATATAAAAGAAAACTAACAATAAGCCTGATTTGATTAATGTAAAGTATACCGACTAACAAGTGAACATAAATACCGTATATAGTACTTCCTCGCCTCTAGTTACTCCCCGGAAAGTCTATAGAAACATGTAAGAAATTCCTTCATTTCGAAGTAGATGCCAAAAACACCCGAGAATTTATTTCATTTTTCTCTAATTTATTTTGAGGGATTAAAGAAAAGGTTATAATAGGATACACGGGTGTAAAATGTGAGATTACGGTTTTGTTATACACGTAGAGACTACTATAACGAACACGATCCCCATAAACATCACTCAATCTCCGACTAATAAACTATAGCGTAAGGTTTGAAGTAAACTTGTTGTTCAACGACGAAAGTCCATAAATATAACTAGGTGTGAGGGTTGGAACCCATGATGGAGGCTCGGGCCATGCCCTCGCTAAGCACTGACCAAAGTCCTCGTTGAGCACTGACCAAAGTCCCTGCTTAGCACTGGCCATTACCCCACTGCCAAACAGGTTTCTACTTTTCCACACTTTCTTGTTTTGTTCTTCTGACATCATGTATTCGTCATTCAAGTTTCTTGCAAGTTTCTTGGAATATTCAGGAAGCTCTTCCTCTCTATATATAGAGGAAGAGCTCGCATGTATGTAGTCTTCACGCAATTCTTAATTGAATATTCGAAACCACAGCTTTGAGCTATTCGAGGTCTGGCCTCTCACACTAGGAACTATTATCTAGCAGGATTTATTGTGAGTAAGGATAGAGTTGCTTAGTAAGCCGTGGTAGGATATTTACCCTACCCTACTACTAGATACTCCGTTATTAATACTACTACAATATCTACTATATTGTTTGCTATACTACTGTAAGCTCTTTTCTCCTACCTATATACCACTCGCTATAAGCCTGCCGTCCTATATACTAGCGCAATTCTCAGAGGACATCTCTTTATATTATCTAGTTTATACTTCGAGCGTTTCTCTACTTATACTTTATATTCTATTAGATAGAGCCTTCTAATTAGTCTATAATATAGTCCAAGTTCAAGCACTTAGCGTTTAGTCCAAGAACTTTGTATTCTTTCTTTTATAAGCTATATACTTATTTATAACCTGTGTACTTTATTTGAGTTAGTTGATGCTCCTGCAAGGGACGCGTAACCGAGGGTAATCTTACTTATCCTTCGCTTTACACTTTATATGTAGGAGAATTATAAGCACTTGAAATACAAAAGAAAACCAACTATAAGCTCATTTGATGTGACTTGTACCGACTGACGAATGAACATAAAGTCTAATTTATTAAAACACACCGCACGACCCCCAGATTTCCCATTCAAGGTTCAAGGCGGTCATAAACAGCAGTTTCTAAACCAACCTCTTCATTCCATCTACCATTCTTTTTCCACGTATTTACAAAGGCACAAGAGGTTCTCATCCGTTACTTTGAACACACCACTCAGTCAAGACTTATATTACAAATAGTAGCATGGTGGTAGTAAGAAAAACGTTAGGATAGAAGAGACTAAGAACCTAAAACTATCAGTCTAACTATCCAGCCAAAACCAAGAAGGATTCTCACGTCAAGCTCAAACTCAAACTCAAGTACGTATTGCTTTCTTGGTGTTGGATACAGTAAACGAAGAAAGAGGAATAAAGGCGGTATGTTTGTCTATCCTTCAGGACTAACAAGAAGGATGAGTGTCAGTGATGGCAAGACTGGTGGGGGCGATGATAGTGATTATAAGGATGTTGATAATGAGTATATGAGTTTTTCGTGTGTAAGGATTATGAATGATGGATTTAGGGAATGTAAGATCTTATGTCGGGTTGGGATCACGGTACATTACAAGTTGTAGTTAGGAAATATATTATCTGCAAAACTCATCCTACCGGGGGATCTAAAGAATATCCAGACCGACCTCACCCAACCACCCACAATACACCCAAAAAACAGAAATCAACCTCCCACTAAACCTAGCAGAACTTTCATTCCATTTCAAACCCCACCTCAACCCTCTCAAGCCACCCCACAACCCTTTCCCTCTCCTCACTCGAATACCTAACCTTCCCAGACTCACTAACATCCTCATCCTCCCAATCCTCCTCGTCCGAAAAATCAAGATAAATCCAAGAATGGTGATAAATACCCTTTTCGCTTACAGGCCACCCATAACTCCTTAACCAAGCAAATATACTCCTCGTTGTCATCTTGGAGATATCCTCGGACACTTCTTTATACATCGGCTCTTCAATCTGTATCTGTTCAACTGGGACTGGGACTGGGACATCCTCTATAACAGGAAGAATATCCTCTCTCAGCCCATACCCAGATCTCGAGAATCCAACATCCCTTACCCCACCCCCACCCCTCACACCCCAAAACCACCCCCCATACCTCAAACAATGACCCCCACCACAACTTACATGAACCCGCACACAAACCTCCACCTCCCCAACCCTCGTCCTCCCAACCGGCCTCCACGCACAAACCGGCACCCTAGAATTCAACACCTCCCCCCAAGAAAAAGCAACCTACACTCCTCATCCCTCCCAATCCTCTCATCACAAACCGGCCGAGGATCCAAACTCATAAACGTCTGTATAGTACCCGTCCAAGCAGCGGAATGCATTTCGACAGTGGGAAACCCGTTTCGACAGCGTTGGATGATTTGGTGCGCCGGGCCGGTGATGAGGGACCCGGTCCAGAGGGCGGTGATGTTGGATTTTGCTTTTCCTAATGTAAGGGCTAGGATGGAGTAGTGTTTTGCTGCGATGATGGGGTGCAGGACTTCGAAGATGGGTTGGATGAAGGCGCTGACGAGGTTGCAGGGGATGTGGGGGTTGAAGAATGTGTTGCAGAGGAGGGCTTCGATGGCTCTTCCGCTGCAGCTTAATGTCATGTAGTATGGTAGGAGGTGGAAATCAGTAAGCGTCCTTTCTTTATGCTTGAGCTGTTTAGCTGTTGAGGAAGAATCAGGTGACTTTGGTTTATGGTCTGATGGAGATGAGGCGTGAGAAGTAGGCACTGGCAAGCTCGCATTACCAACGGAGGGGAGGGTCAACGCAGCGGCCAAGGCAGCAGAACATTGGCTGCCTGCATTATGAAGACAACAGAAGTCGATCAAATAGCCCAGGGCAACTTCAGAGGTTGGTGGCACACACACTTTGGTGACACAGCTGTGTGGAGTATTTGTGCCCGTGAGGCGGAATTGGAAGTCTGCTGCTACAAATGCTGTAGACCATGGCGACTGATAAACGGCATCGTCCCTGTTGATCTCTGCTCGCCAACCTTCCCCCTTGGCTAGAATTGCGGTCCACCATAGTGCAGCAGAGATACTAACATCCCCAAGATTAATGTCGATAGCTCCTTGCAAGCTCTCATTGGTATCGTTTTTCCATCCTGCCTGACTGGGCAAATATATAACACAATCCTTCAAACAATCTGACCCCGACTCTTTCTGAATCTCCACTCAGCGCGCAGAGAGTACATACGCCCAAGCAAAAACCAAGATAGCAAGACAATTACCACCTCCTGTCTGCGTCGAGCCATCTTCCGACCAATCCGCAAACCGCCCATCCTCCCAGAACGAACAAGAAACCGGCTTCTGAACACCCATAAGAATTTGATGGGACAGAGTCTTCTCGCGAAGCTCGCAATCTCCATCACCCACCTTCCACAGAGATGTGCCGTTGACAAAAAGGGTCGATGGGTAACCTGGGAACGACCTGGTATATAGGTCAAACTCCAGATTTTCGTTGCGCGTCTGTGTCCCAGAAATATCATGTCCGAGATATGACGGAACTTTCCCAAGAATATTTGGAAGGTGTAGGGTGTTGGCCGTAAATTCTCGTTCATGATATGATTTTTGGGCGTACGATGACCATTTTGGTAAGGTTTGGGAATAAACTCGATCGACGTCGGATTTGCTAGGCCGAAGTTCGTCTTTTACTTCGCTCATAGTTGCAGGAAAGTGACGTTGACCGGAGTTGGTCATGATGGTGTTTGAACCTCCAAAGTGGGTTGTAACATTTGTTAGCGCTTTATATAAGATTATAAGTAAGAAAGTGCCCGCCAGAATCCACCGATGAGTCGTGGTAGAGAGCTTTAAGCCATAGTTTCCAACACGTACAAATAATCAATGATTCTCATTTGAAGAAAGTCGATATATATACGACTAATAGAGTCAGCAAAATCGACTGTCACGTGACTACTCTTCTGTGCGCTGGGCCCTGGGGCCTGGTACAGATTAGCCTAGGTGCTCACTCGCTTCTTCTATACGTACAGACGCACTAGTCTCAAAACCCAACCACTCCTACATACTATCTAGCAAGCTCTACAAACCAAATAAACATTCCTATCCCATCACTTCTCTCCTGCACTCCTATCACTTCATTATTCAAGTCCACTCTCACAGACAGCACAGACAGTTCAACACAACGAAATATCAAAGTATTGCATCAAATCCTCAAATTCTACAAAAAAAAAAAGGGAACTACCGAACTACCTAAATCCCCCCTAACAAAAAAGCGAGCAGCCCAAGCTAAGCGAAGCCACAAAGATGATTGAGCGAAAAGATCGAAGATTCCATTGATACCGTCCGCGTATTATCGTCCACGGTAAACGTTCTTCACTCTCCTTCTCCCAACCCCCCTGATCCGCCTGCCGTCTCGTACATCATCCCACCTATCAAACCCCCCTCCCCATTCCCACCCTTATATTCTCTCATGACAGTCAAACACAAGCAAAACCAGGCCCGTTCCTGAACTCCAAGGAAATCCTTCCCAGAACACCATAATGAAAGAATGAACAACCTTGGAAGGAAATGAATGAGAAGAATATGAAGATCGCTTCACATGACCGCAAATGCTATTGGCTCTCGATAGAGCCGGAATCACTTTCGGCAAGTAATCAGAATCCCTGGGGACCAACTCCATCAATACCCCCAGTCTTGAAATACTCCTGCACAACCCCCACCACATAAGCCACCCCCGCAAACCCAGTACTGATCAGCACGAACCTCTTAGCTTTCCTTTGCCTGGCCGTTCTCTTTCTCTGTGCGCGTTCATGGTCACGCCGCACTGAAAGCTTCTGCCATATCGACTCATTATGCCTCAAAAACTCCTCATGCCGCTCTGATAGCCCCCGATTGTTAATTGGTAGCTGGAAATCGTCATCAGGTATGGATTCTGGCTTGCTGCTAGGCTCAGTTGGGAGATCATGGTTTACGAAACCAGTTGGGGAGGCAAAATTTCCAGTTGTAGCGATAGGAGTGCTTTGCATGCCATCAATGGGGTTGGTGAAGAGGCGTGCTCGGTCTTGCGTCGTTGCAAGAGGCTCTCCTGTGATACCAGTTGAGGGGCCATCACGAACCTTGCGGAAAATGAGGACGTTTCCTGAACCAGACACAATTTCATAGCCTTGAGATTCCAATGGTGGGAAGTGCGGGAAGAACTTGGCTGGGTTAGATAATTTTAGAAGTACCTCATCTGGTGTGGGAGGTGCTGAAGAATCGGTTACGATGGAGGTTGTTTCTGCCACATCGATAGATTGCGATTCTGGATCATAAACTAGGATTTTATAAAGGGTCGGTTGTTGGTTTGTATTCTTAGGAACCGGCTTTTCAGAGGAGCCTGATTGCAGTGAACTCATAGAGTCATCGTAGATATTTTGTATTTCGTGGCGTAACCTTTCAACCTCCGAGTCCTCTGCTGACAAAGACGACATTGCAACCTCTTCTGTGTTACCTTCGGATGTCTCAGGAGAAGTGCGTCCGTAGGATGAAATTGACTCTGACAGATCACCTTCTCCCTGTATCATTGGTGTACTAGAACTTAAAAATTGGTCCTCGGAGCTTGCCTCTTCAGAAGTCGTGGCTCCTGTCTTGGGAGAGCTACGATCTAAGGAAGGCTGTAAACGTGGGGTATCTGGTTGGCGGCAAAATGAATCCGAAGGCGCCAGCCCATCGATGTAGGCCTTTTCAGCATTTTGGATCCTACTTTCCAATGGCGTCTTATTCGGTTCCACCTTCGGAACTAGCGATTCGGATTTCCCTTTGCTCCAAGTTGTTTGAAACTCTTCTGGAAAGTCACGAACAAAATTCCCAGTAATCTTGGAAGATTGAGCTGGAATGGATGTCTCCAGGACGGACTCCTCGGGAACGGTCTTCTTGTCGCTCAACTTCTGTGTGGCACCAGATCCCTCCTTCAAAGTTCCATTCCACCAATCGTGGGCCTTGCCAAACTCCTTTTCCAATGTTGCCCCTCTCATCGCTCTTATCATCGCATGTGTAAATTGCCCATTCTTGAAAGTGCTCCCAACAACCGAACGACCCTTTCTCTCCCGATCGTGGTTGATGACCGATCTGAGCCTGGGACTATAATTAATGCGACTGTCATACTCGCGAAGTCCTTCTTGCACGGGATCAAGTGGTTGAGTAGATATCCCAATAGGCTTACCATCTGGTTCGTTGTGGTATACCGGTCCGTATGGATGCTCCTTGTCGTATACTTCCCACCCACCCTCCTGATTGGGATCACAGGGCTCTTCGTTGGGCTTACCATCTGGTTCATTGTGATACACGGGCCCGTATGGATGTTTCTTGTCATAAACCTCCCATCCATCCTCCTGGTTGGGATCACGAGGCTCTTCATTCGGTTTGCCATCTGGTTCATTATGATATACAGGTCCATATGGATGCTTCTCGTCATAGACTTCCCAACCATCCTCCTTGCTAGGATTACAGAGTTCTTCGTTTGGTTTGCCATCAGGTTCATTGTGGTAGACTGGCCCGTATGAGTGCTTTTTGTCATAAATTTCCCATCCACCTTCGTCTTGGGCAGTAATGTGCTCTTCTGGTTTGCCATCTGGTTCGTTGTGGTAAACCGGACCATATGAGTGCCTTTTATCATAAATATCCCAGCCATTTTCATCCCTACGGCTCACCTGTTCCTCCGGTTTTCCATCTGGTTCGTTGTGGAAGACCGGCCCATAGGGATGTTTTTGGTCATATTCTTCGTAACCCTTTTGCTCCAGATCTTCTGCCTCCTCGGTAGACCTCTGCCCATCAGGCTCGTAGGCCATGAAGGGTTTGTCATATGAAGCTTTCGAATCATACTTGTCAAGGCCAGCTTCGGGTTCATGGGCTTTCTCGACCCTCGCCGATTTAAATCTTTCCCTCCCTTGCACCGGACGGGAAGTAGACCTCAATTTGCTTTCGTGGTTCTTCTTTTCCCTTGCCACCTTTGCATCGTATATTTTAAACCCCTCCTCAGCGGGATCGGTCAAATCTTCCGATGGAGGTTGCCCGTCAGGTTCATACGCTGTGAAGGGCTGATCATAATGAGCCTTAGAATCATATGTTTTGAGACCTGATTCGACGGGATCGAATGTCGAAGGCTTCGACGAATTGTTCGCTGGTCCACTGGTGCTCTTGAATGGTCCTTTTCTAGAGGCAATTGGCTTTTGTAGCTCAGGACCTCCTTGCTTTGGCTGGGGTGCTTGTGAGTTTACAGATGTATCAACTTCCGAAGGAAACATTGGACCAGGAAATATGATGGAACGATAGTGCATACCGCCGCCCGAGGAGAAAAGGGTTTCTGTGGCCTCATTACTCGGCTGGTTATCCATGTTTAATTGTCTCTTGAGCAAGGAATCCACTCGTCTGCCGTAAATACTTCGCAAACGGTCCTCTGGAGTGTCATCAACACTGTTGGGCGTCTGGGGCTTAATTGATGGATTTTTAAACACTTTCCGGTTTGTGATTGGATCAATTTCATAGTCTCTCTCAGTCGGAGATTGTTGATAATTATCTAATCGATCCGTTTGACGAGGAGACGCATATTTGGGGTGGCTGGAAAACAACGTCTCCACTGCGTCCCTCTCCACATCTTCAATGCCGTCCTCATTCGCCCTTTGCGGCTTCTCGTTTACGCCAAATATGTCGTCAATATCAGACCACCGACCACCGCGACCTGTCTGGTTTTGACGATGCAAGGCAGTACACATCAAGCCTTTCAGCTGGCGTCTCGCATAATCTGGTAAGTGGCCATCCCACAGCAGCTTTCGATTTAGTGTTTCAATGTACTTGCGTCTGGATCCTCGAATGTGGCGCTGCAACTCCTTTTTAAAGACGGGATCTAGGTAGGAAGACCACATATTGAATCTGAAAGAGCGAGTCTGACCCAATCGAGAGTTATGGGGTACACGGCATGCTGGTCGCAGTACGCTTTGGGCATTACATATCGAGGTAGCCATGGTGTTTGAGGTAGATACCATGTGGGAGGAAAACATGTTGGGGGTTTTTATCGCAGATTCATACTATTCTCCTGGTTATTGTTAGTGAATGACGGTAGAGGACACCGTGGGGTAGAGCCAACTAGTAGCAGTAGCGGTTGCGTTCAAGTGGCCTGATGCTGATAGATCGATTTCCTATTCAACACGGCCTCTATGTAGTCTCACGATGGTGGTATCATGGAAATGAAGTCGTTGTGGCACAAAGATGCGGATGCTCAATGGAAGGTCGGAGGCAAAGGATGCTGGCGGTTGCGTATCTGCGGGTCTGGTTAACCACGATCACTGCCAGCTATCTGTGTCCTTTATTCGTCCCGATGAAAGCGAACGGAGGACTCGGGAGGGGTTGAGGATGACGAGGAGCTAACGATGAGGTTGATTGTCTCGGCGGTATAGCATTCGATAGTAGATGGATGAGAGAGGGGTACGGGTAGGGATAAGGGTAGCGGGCGACGACTCGCCGATGCTGGATAAAGGTGGATGGAGACTTGAGATACGGAATGTTTTGAGGCAAGAATGACCGAGAGAGATGGAGGGAGGAATGGATGGGTGAGATGATGGATGGTGGATGAGGGATGGGGTTGAAGAGAAGAGAAGGAGAGTGAGAGGGTTGAGCTACTACCAGTCTGAGTACTAGTTAGCTGTTAGGCGTGGGAAGGGGAAGGGCGAAGTAGATGTGACAGCAGAGTTGCTTGCTAGTGTGAGTGTACTAGAGTGTACTAGTTAGTGTGAGTGTACTAGTCAATGGCCTGAATGGCCTTCACCAAGGTGTTACCCCGCACTGCAGGCGCGGCCCTGCTGGTAAGCTTCCTGGGCTTGCGCAGCGGCAAGCATACCCGCCTGGGAAGGGGAACCTGAATCCGCAATTTTCCGAAGTCTGGGGAAGCACGTGACATAAAAGCGGCCAGATGGGTGGTAAAGCAGCGACTTGCGTCATCGGGTTTAGGTCAGCTTCGCAGCCAGAGTCTGGACCTTTGAAGCGCAACCTTCCAAAAGTTGAATGGTGCATGCGCCAATGAACCAACCTGGATTAAATGGCCGACTCTAACCTCCCCTTTCACTGCTACAATTTCCTTAGGCATATAGAATTTCTCTCCCTTTTCTCTGCTCTATGCTACTTTTCGTTCTAGCAAGGGTCAATTCTATTGCATACTTTTGTACTGGTAGCGGACGTTGGTGATTTGAAGCACCCCACCTGCGCCTCAGCCTCTTGATATCCAAGACAAATAAATCAACTTGAACCAGCCTGACTACTGCACAACCACTGCCCACTGCCCAACAACCATCAACCAACAAGCGGCCACTGTGTCAGGTGCTGTGTACACAACATGAGCAAGCGACAGTTCAAGACACAGGCCTCCAGCAGTCGAGCATTACCTATAAATAAAGGCTTTGGAGGCTTTGGCGCCACCCCACCTAGCACGCTATCTTATGTTGCGGAACTGCCAGACCTGAGCTCCATTTCCGATCCCAACATCGTCGTCGCGTTCAAGAGTCTATCCAAGGCAGATGGCACCACCAAAACCAAGGCGCTGGATCTTCTGGACGAGTACATCTCCAAGCAGGGCGATGGCGATGGAGGGGTAGAAGATCCGGTCCTCGAGGCGTGGGTGTGTAAACGGAAAGCCACTCTCTCGTCTCAATTGACCCTAACTTTCTTGCAGGTTCAATACTACCCCCGTCTGGCCATCAACAACCACCGCCGAGTTCGTGAACAATCCCACACCCTTCAAGTCAAATTGCTCAAGTCGGCGCGTAAACGAATGGAACGACGTCTACCTGATACCGTGGGAAGCTGGCTCGCAGGATGTTTTGATAGGGATGGATCCGTAGCAAGGGCTGCCCAGTCCGGGATCAGCTCATTTCTCAACACGGATGACAAGGTGACGTTGTTTTGGACGCGGTGTCAAAGCCAGATTCTCGATTATGCTCAAGAAGCAATGAATGAGACCTCACAAACATTGAGCGACGAGCGTAGTGTCAGTGCCGAGGATGCCAAATCTCTATATCTCAGGGTCATTTGTTCTAGTATCTCGCTGGTGGCCAATCTTCTGATTAAACTGAACCCAAGTGATGTTTTGAATTACCAAGAAAAGTATGAAGAATACATCCGTGCAAAGAAGTTATGGTTCTTTGCCTCCTCGGAAGACTCGGCTGTCAGAAAAGCTCTCTATCGGCTCCTGATAGTTTGTCTAGAGAAGCAGCCAGCTTCGGTTCAGAGCTCGTTAAATATGATTAGTATTGGTTTAATTGAAAAGGGTCTGTCAGCATCCCAGTCTACATCTTCTTTGCAACTCTTGCAGGCCTTGGAAAGCTTGACACGTCAGTTCCCAGAAGTTTGGAAATCAACTCGGAAGGGGGTGTTGGCTTTCAGTCAACTGCGCAAATTCATTCAAAGAGGTTCTCAAGGCGCCCCTGCAGTCTACTGGTCATCGCTGCAAATCCTTCTGGCCGCTATGCCAGGGGATGTATTACCCCCTGATGACGAAGAATGCCTAGCATTCTTGACCGAATATCGGACTGCGATACAAGCACGCGAAGAAGCAAAACAGAATGGAGAGGCAGCCTGGTTGAGTTATTTCGGTGCTGTGGAAATCTTGGTGCGAATGCGGCCACAATCAACTTTCCATGGAGTTCTGTTTCGAAATGCTGTATTACCAGTCTTGGAAGGATATTTCCATGGAACCCAAGATCGCATTCCTGTTACTACACCAGCAATGGGAAAAGCCTACCATGTCTGGGCTTCAGCCCAAGGCTTGGCACCCCAAGATGGAGTGTCTTTCTCGTTGCAAAAGCTAGCCAGTGCATTTATTGCAGAGTCTCAAACCTCTATCCACATCCAACCACACAATTCCGGATCATACCGTGAAGGCCAAAAGAAAATTATCACAGAAGGTCATCGCTGGTTCTCTTTGCTAGCAGAAGCGGCCAAATCAAGTGATTCGGAGACAATTGTGAGCCCATTGATCAATTCAACCTCTGGAATTCTCAGTTCTGCCATCAAAGTTGTTGCCAGTGAGGAAGGGCGTCCGTATTCAGCAGCCGCTATGGTCGAAATATCCGTGAGACTCACACCCAAAGTGGTTGCAGCATCACCAGAGCTTTGTGGCTCCATCAAGACTTTGATCCACTCAAACCTTCCTCAGCTCAAGATTGTTCTCTCCCCCTCTTCAAGGTATCTCGTGTCAACGCTTTTCATAATTCGTTCTTTGCCAGATCAAGAAAAGTTCTTTGAAAGTGTATGGAAACGCACCATTGATATTCTCTCTTCGAATACCTCAAACCCTCTATGTTGGAATGGGGTAGGAGCTTTAATTGCAAACGACACAGTTTCAAAGATTTCCAAGTCGAATTCTGTCCTTCAAAAGCTCCTATTGGACGCCAATCTAAATGCCTTGAACGGAGTGACAGAAGCTTGGTCATTGTTTGAGACGGCGCTCGACTTCGACTGCTATGCTGATGAATCTGCGGAGGCCTTGTTGAGTCAGATACTGAAGGAGCTCAGTCCAACTAACAGCCCAGAACCGACACCTTCAACCCACGGTCAATGGGATCACGCCCTCGAGGCACTGGAATATATCTCTGAGCGTAGACCAGGAATATTGAGCAAAGCAAAGAATAGCCATCTAATGATAACCACCATGTTACTAGAGATCATGGAAATATCTGATCCCGAACTTGCCTCCCGTGCCTTGGCCGTTAAGACGGTTGTAGAAAAAGCAAACCACACACCGGGACAGGTTGATCATTATTCATCGCTCGATGTAATACGATGGAACCTTGAACTTGAGCCCAATAGCCCAAGGATTTTACAGTATGTTTGTAGAATATCTCCAATCTGTCCATTTACTGACGAATCATATCAGAATTGAGACGCTCGTGCAGCAGGCAAAGGATTTTGAGGCTTCCAATCCAGAGCTCGCTCCAGCGACCGCTTTCTTTCCGGATTCTGAGAAGTGGATATCAGCTCTTTCTCCCACTCTAACCTTGGGACCTAGCCCTGCGCTTGGAGTTATGAGACCTTTTGGTGGAGCAGCTTTACTTGCTTCGGTATTGTCCGGTGCAGAAGATTCGGTCCCCATGCGTGGCTTGAAAACTTTTCCAATTGCTTTACGAATGGCCCTTTATACATCAAATTTGGTAAGTGATAATGGGCTGTTTTTGCGGCTCCCAGCGAATCGTATCTTGGATATTTTACATTCCCATTTGCTCACTGCGGAAGTGGTCAATGATAAACTGGATCTCCTCATTCCGGGAGAGTCAATCGAGGGGTTCGCAGAAGAGGAAGATGAGTTTGATGAACTGCGAGCCTTCGCATCTCATATGCATTTGGGCACAACAATTACTGGTGCAAGAAACTGGCAGAGTACAAATTCTTCCTTGGAAAACAATAACGATACATCCAGCATCGTCAATGCACTAATCAATAAACTTATTGAGACTTCAAACACTAGCCAAACCCGATATTATGGATCGAAGGCACTCGGGCATCTTGTTAGTTCGCTGGTTAGTGCCCATGGTTGGGACATTCCAAGAGGGGATGCTTGGCTTTCAGGTCTGAACATCTTCTCTGCTGGCACATCGAACACTTTTGCAGCTGCAGCAATCTTGACGGCTCTAGAAAGCAACATTGCAAATAATCAAATGATAAAGACACTCTGCAACCGTCTGATCAGCGATGTAGCCGGCGTATCCGCAACTTCAGCAAAAACATTTGGAATCGTGGTTCTTTTGAACGCAACTCTGTCGGTTTACTCTGAGGAGGAAATACCAGTGGCGAAAAATCGCCTGATCTTTGCTGTTAAGCAGATTTTGTCATGGGCGCCAAGTCTAGCGAACACAAATGCTTCTTTGGCCTCAGAATCTTGTCGGGCATTGCAGGTTCTTCTGCCTTCCATTAAAGACGTTTATGGATCATATTGGGAAACAGCGATTGGATTCTGTCTTTCGATATGGGAATCTAACCAAGATGGCACGCTTTCAGATGAACACATACCAATGACAGGAATGAGTCTTAAGCTATATTCTATTTTGCGAAAACTGGATGAAGCAAATGATGACCTAGATGAAACTCTGCAGGATCAGAAAGAAGCCATTTCGTTTGCATTGGTTGAACTACTGAAACTGCGTCGACCACGCGAACACAAGCCACTAGAATTCGTGGACACTCTTTTGTTAAGGCTACTACGTGATGTTCCACATGATCACCTTGGGGATCTTTCAGAGCTCTATCCTCTTCTTGCATCAGAAAACCGCAATCTGCAATCTGCAGCCTACGATCTCCTTCGCCGAGCCCTATCTCAAGCTCAGCAGCAGATATCTGTTGATATTCTGCTAGAGAAGAAACGTAAGTATATACACCGGAATCTGTGCGCAGTAACTAACGAGAACCAGATGCTCGTCTACCCGATGAGCTTTTATCGCTACTCCTGGATGCACCTTCAATTGCCGCCTATTCTGACGAGATGTTGGAACTTTTCCCAATTCCAATCCGAGGATATCTGCTGTCGTGGCAACTTGTCTTTGAGTCCTTCGACAACGCTTCCCTCAAAGTCCGAACCGATTATACTAATCTCCTGAACTCTGGAAACTACCTGGGGCCATTACTAAATCTCATCACTGACCTCTTCCAAAACTTGAGCAGCAAATCTGGAGACTTGAGTAAAACGCTCTTCGACCCAGCTACAATCCCCACGTACGAGCTATGGATGGCAATCGACTCCGAGTCCCCCAAACGCGACATCTGCTGGCTGCTGGGACATCTCTACTACAGCTGTCTCAAATTTGTCCCCAGCCTCGCGCGAAACTGGTGGTCCGACTGTCCTTCTCGGCAACTGAAACTCTGGGTCAACAAATGGACAGAAAAAGTCTTTTCGCCCATCCTCATCCAAGAAGTCAAGAACGAGGTGATGAAATGGGCGGAAGAACAAGATACCGAGGATGACGAGAAGAAGCCTCTGATTATCAAGTCTTCCAGTAAACTACCGGAGATTAATGCGGGCTATGAGATTGATGATATGATTATGCAGATTGTTGTTTCGCTGCCGGTGGATTATCCATTGCAGGGTGTGGAGGTGAGGGGCGTGAATCGGGTGGCTTTTAATGAGAAGACATGGAGGGCTTGGCAGGTTATTTGTCAGGGGGTTATGAGGCATAGTGTATGTTCCCTTCTCTTCCATTCCCCCTTCCCTCTACCCCCTCCCTAAAACTCCCTTCCTACCCCCAATCCCCCCTACTTACCCCTAACTAACTCCACAGACCCTCCCCGACGGCCTAACCCTCTTCCGCGACAACCTCGCCCTTGCCATGGCCGGCAAAACCGAATGCGCCATCTGCTATTCTATCTTAGCCGCCGATAAAAAACTCCCCGACAAGACGTGTGGGACCTGCAAGAATACTTTCCATGCGTATTGTTTGTATAAGTGGTTTCATAGCAGTAATCAGAGTACGTGTCCCCTTTGCAGGAATACTTTTACTTATGGAGAGGGAGGACGGGGAAGGGAGAGGGGGTAGTGGATATAGGGGAAAAGACGGGGGAAGGGAAGGGAAGGGGAAGGGGGATGAATGAATGAATTAATGAATGAATTCTTTAGAAGCTTGATGTTCAGATGAATAACAAGCGTTAAGCGTGCGTCTCTTTTCCCTCGAGTCTACCTGTAAAATCCCATGGTGATTATATAGTCAAATCCAACTGTATAATCACAAGTCATATGTTCGTGACTTTGTGTTGGTTAATTTGTTGATTTGTATATTGGTATTCAGATACTTCCAACTTCCAACCTCTATCCTCCATTGTTCCCCGCCACAATTTCACAAGTCCAATACGACAATCTTCCTCTTTACCTCCTCCAGCATCCCCTCTCTTAACCCATCCGTCTCTAAGACAGCCTTCTATGTCGCTTGTACTTTGTACTGTATATTTCCCTCTTCTTCCCATGCTTGTAGATCTTGGAAAACTTGTGTAGACCCAGACCCAGACCCAGACCACCGTATTATGCCCTAGCGAATACTAGTTACCTTCTTTATGTGTTTCTTTGTGGCATTGTTATATAGTACTATTGGAACCTGGCTTCGCATGATGGCCTACCTTACAGGTGTGGCGTGGATAGAAGACGAAGTCATTGAGAGTTTTGATCTAGCATCCAAATATTTTGGAATGCTAGGAGCGGAATGGATAGTAATGTATACAGATCCATCAAAATATCGTAGATTTGTGCTGTTGTTTATACGTGGATTGGAGGTTTGTATTATATTCTTGGGGTTTTCATTCAATACGACGAGGTTAGAGGTGGTGGGACTTTAGTTTTACTAGGATTACTCGTACCTGAATTCACTGAACTGAAATCAGTCGCCAAAAGGAATGTGAATTACACGGGTATTCTTCAATGGAAATTAAGCTAGAACGGAAAAAGTCAAATTAAGTAGGGAATGGAAAAGGTGTAATAATGCTTCTAGACTGTCTTGTATACACATTTGTATTATGCGAATATAATAATAGGTTTCAAAATTGAAACAAAATACAATTCTACATTAGTCTTTATTATTTTTACAGTGTTTTGGATATTAGTTTCTGTTATATTCTGACCCTAATACGGTAATCTTCAAATGTGTACCGGTACTACATGGATTTGAATATACCGATTCCCCCAGAAAAGCATGAGTATTATAGCACAGATACATGATTGACTGGAATTCTATCGCAATGATATCAAGAGATAATGTATAAACTCAATAAATACTTTGAAATAGGCCCTGATAAACGGCCACTCCCCTCGCTTTATTGTCCATCAACGCAAAACACTTGACGGCCGGAGCAAAAACCATGACCAAGATATAACTCCAATCACCAACCCTCAAGATTGTTCCGCACAGACTCCTCTAAAGATGTCCATCTCTCCTTCCCCATACTTCTCAAGAGCTCCAATCCCCTCTCACTCGCAGAAGTAGAGACAGGCGGCAGTTGTGGCATATAGTTCTCTACTACCTGCTGGGAGGGACGTAGTTTGCGGATAATTTCTAATATATCACTATGAAATCTTTAGTAAATAGTGGCTGAAAATGTGTATGCTGGTGTGGACTTACTTCCAATTAAAAGCGCCGCCAAAAGCCAGAATACGTTCATGGTCGATTTTAGGGCTGAGCAGGGCGGCAATATGAAGGAGTGCAGTATCTTGTACGTCTATGAACCAGTCTATGGAGTTGTGAGTATGGTATGTGTGTGGTGAGGGAATCATGTGTAAAGGGAACGTACATAGAGATAGAGGAATATCTAATCTCTCCCCTTTCATTAATCTTAGAGCGAAATTCCCTGAGTGGGCTGGTTCCTTTGATTTATCCAGAATCTGACCTGTCACCATGTCAGGTAGGATGGTATTTACTCTTCATCCAAATAGAAACGACGAGGTCAGCTGACTTGCCCCAAGGACTATTTTAGTAAAGAGATTCTAAGCGATCAAGAAACACCAACCTAAACCCAGGCTTCTCCTCATCAACAAACTTCCATAACGTTTGTTCACTCAAAGCTTTACTCGCCGCATACACATGCGAACCCTTCGGGTTCTCCTCTTCCGCTTCACGAATAGCTATCTCGTTCCAACTCGTGAAATCGACGGGGAGTTTTATATCGGGATATACGGGCGATGCAGCTAATGAAGAGGATTTGTATACAAAAGACTTTATTTCTGGGTATTTCTGTGCTGCTCGGAGGAGGTTGAGACATCCAGCGATGGTTTTTGGGATTACGATAGAGGGAGATGAGGACATTGATACGTTTGATGCTACGTGGATGATTCCTGATATTCCTACCATGGGTGCAGGTCAGCTCAGACCTGAGGGATGTGGGAGATGGGAACGCATCGTGATTTTCAAGGGAGTGGGGTGAATTGTACTTACCATCCAGATGGCCATCGAATACACCATCCTCAGCTATGTTAGAGATGCGAATTGCTTTGAATCGTCCCCGTCCATGCATTTTCTCCCATTGCTCGCTTAGGAGCTTGATATTGGGGAGGTCTCGAGTCCTTCCTCGGACTTGGTAGCCGAGGATTAGGAGTTGATCTACGATGTGGGAGCCTATGAAGCCGTTGCACCCTGTCACGAGGATCGTGGATCCTTTTGCGATGGCTGGGAGCATTGTTGTTATTGGGAGAATCAATGTGTTGATGGTAAGGGTTGGGGGCTGAACATTGTGGCTTGGGCTTTTGGAATGATGAGGTTGTTTTAGAGTTTAGGCTTATGAGGACGGTTGAATGGAATGGGCATGGGATGCAGGTATTCGTGAGTTGAGGCTCAACTTGAGGCTCATGATATAGGTATGGTTATACCAACAATATGAAAAATATCTACAACCAATCATTCCAGGTTTTGCGCAATTTTGTTTGCATTTTGAATCTTCGCGAAAAAGCCATATCAGATGTCAAAATTTGTATCTTTTTGAAAAATATTCACCTATGACTTCTTGGATGATCAAGAGGAGGGGAAACATGAGCCTAGAGCCTCAGATGTTTACATAGCGAGTGTGTTGGCTACTTGAGCCATTTTCAGTCCTCCGGAAGTGAAAAGAAGGAGAATGTTTGCGGGGAAGTGAAACCAGGGAGATCTGCCTTGACCTATCTCTGTATTGTAAGAGTTCAGCTGAGATGCATCAATATGAAGCATTCTGGTTAGGCCCATTAGTCGATTCTGACTATTTCACATGCCGCTTCTTACAAGTCTTCCTGGAGTGTGAATGTATCGCTCTATTCCCAAAAAAAGGGGGGGCTGGTAAATGAGGGGGGGGCTGGGAAACCTTAGTCATCCTCAAGCCCCTCCTCCTACCCCGTAACCAGCAACTTCAACCTCAAGATACATGTCCCTACTCTTTACATCCACAATCCTTTCCCCTCCAAGGGATCATCTTCCACCAAGATACAGGAAATTACGGTGTGAGAAAATACACCCCCATCGCTAGGCTGAATGCTTCAGAGAGCTGGGAATGGGAGTGGCATCAAGGGCAATTCCTGCTCTGGATAGCTTCATGTGCCGACAGGCGATCTAGATTGCTCCAGATCAGAACAACTACATCAACCTGACGCATCTTGCGAAGACCCCCTTCCGCATTTAATCGTCTTGCTCCTCTCCCATGCTCAAGTGCGAGTGCGCCTTGAGGCAAGGATGAGGGTGAGGGTGAGGGATCATCGTGACTTCCGGTAAGTTATATCTGCGTTGCTGCTTCCTCCGCAAGTCTGCTACTATGCACACAAGATTTCTTACTCCTCTCGGCATCGACTGCCCCCGAACCTCTGGAATGGAAGGTACGATTCCACGGTTCATGAGCAAGCGTCCTTATTCCTATACTTGAATTGGTGGATTGCACTGGCATCTGTTCGCGAACTCGGCCTTCATTCAAGATACAAACACCACCACCGCTGCAGCAACACAGGTTCATCACCGACGAGATGCCTGGTAGCGCTCTCCTCAAAAGCCCTCCACGAGGCAAACCGAGGCAGATTGCAGAGGAGTCAATCCCGGAATCACCAGCAGCAGAGGCACTACGAGCTGCAGCTACCTCATCAACCGACAACCTCCTCCCAACGATCATGACCCCGGGTCGTCTGGTATTTCCACAGGAGCGTCCTGGTCCCAATCCAACGGATCCCGATCGATTATTCCCACCGAGCCAACAGCGTACTCGTTCAGGCCGGTCCATGCGATCTGAACGATCTGCGCGCAACCACAATGGCCACAGAGTTACAACGGGAATCCAGCCCGAGGGAGAGAGCGGCCGGACTGGAGTACATCCAATTCAGATGTTGCCGATTTGCTGGCGCTCCACCAGTGGTGCATCACAACTTTGCAATTTACTATGGCCTGCCGTACCAGTAGCTATCGGCATTAGCTTCACACGAGCTGATCTCCACTTGGCAATCTTTGTTCTCAACTATATTGCCATGATTCCATGTGCCAACATGATTGGCTTTGCAGGACAAGAAATGGCAAGAAAGTTGCACAAGGTATTTGGAGTCTTGGTAGAGACAACTCTTGGCTCAGTGGTTGAGATTGTTATGTTCATGGTTTTGGTCATCAATGAGGAGTACCAAGTTATCCAAGCTGCAATTCTCGGATCAGTCTTAGCCACCCAACTCCTCTGTTTGGGTATGTGTTTCGTGATTGGAGGCCTTCGCCACGAAGAGCAAGAATTTGATGAAGAGATCGGTGAAATTGGAAGCGATCTGCTTTTGACAGCGTAAGATCCCGATCCCAAAGACACTATATGATACTAATATTCTGCAGTGGGTTCGGTCTCATTATACCAACACTCTTTCACGCTGCTGTCACTTCTGAAGGTACAGCTACAACCGAAGAAATTGCTGACAAGGTCCTTCGCATTTCTCGAATCACCTCCATTCTCCTCGTCGTCTCCTACATGATTTACGTCTGGTTCCAAATGCGTACCCACCAGAGCATTTACGATGCCATCTTTGAAGCCGACGAAGCCAAAGATGCTGACCGAGATGAGGATTTGAAGAAGGATAAGCTTACGTTTTCAGAATGCGTTGTGGCTCTTGTCATTTCCATCTCGCTGGTTACAGTAATCGCCATCAGGTTGGTTGAGGAGATTGAGTACCTGGTAGAAGAACGTGGTGTTTCGGATAGCTTTGTTGGCCTTATCCTTGTTCCGCTGGTCGAAAAGTTTGCAGAGCATTTGACCGCTATCGATGAAGCCTGGGACAATCAAATGAATCTCGCTCTTGCCCATGTATTGGGAGCCACAATCCAAACATCCCTGTTCAATGGACCACTGGTGGTTCTTGTTGGTTGGGGACTCAATTTGCCAATGGACTTGAATCTTTCCGTCTTCAACATGGTCGTTTTGATTCTTGCCATCCTGGTTGTGGGTAACTTCCTGCGCGATCAAAAGTCCAATTATCTCGAAGGTTCTCTTTGTGTCATTGTCTATATAAATATTGCTACTGCAGCGTTCTTCTACCCCAACCCGGCACCAGAATCCGAGGGAATCAACCAAAAAACGCTTCTGACATCCATGCTGGGATATTGAACGGTAAAGTCGCAAGAGGAAGACGAATTTTGAGACACGGGCATTGATAATTGGGGTTTTTTGGCATTCAAAGCCGAAACGGTCAATGGAACGCTTGCTGAATCGGATCAGAGAACGGAATGGTATGAATGGGGAGAAGTCTCCATCACAACCCCTCATATTTGGAACCACACAGAACAGCACATTTCATATGGGAGAACTTTCTAGCGATGTTTTTGGAGTCACGTTAGTTTTACTGAATAATAAATGTTTTTCTGTAATCACTGCAAGTGCAGTGCAGTGCTTCTTTTCCTCGCATGCTCTCTTGTGAGATGGAACTTTCCATTTGTCCAAGACGCTCGGAAGATAATCTGTGGTCTTCAAATTCATTCTTGTATGAAAGGAACGTCGATTACCATATTAATTTCTCTATAATATATATAACAGATTCCATGAAACCTGGAGATTCTACATTTGGGTGTGGGTATCAAGAAGAAGTTCACGTGACCGGACCCTACGGGTAATACATTCATTTGTGCCTTCTTAAGACCATATGGCACGTGACTTGCGTACGTGCCCGCCTAGACGTTAAATAGACACACACATTCTTAAGACCATATGCTTACCTCATGCTAGGAAATTACCTCCATATCACCAAGTACCAAGCGGTCAACCTCCAACTTAGATTACCTTATCACTTCTCGATATCGAAATCAAGAAAGGAACAAAAATCCAACAACAACCAGTGCCCTAAACTGCGATTCCACAATTATCGCGAGTTTCAATGGCCCCGCAAATGTCACTATTCCAAAGGAAAAAGACACCTCATTTCTGTCAGCCAATGCCATATGCCAGCAAAAGCCACCGGTCCATGGAGTGGGTACTGCTAGTACCGATGGGGTCTAGAAACCGGCAGCCCATCTCATGCCGCATGGATCCACTCCATATCCAACAGTAATATCACGGCGTCTCCCCTTTCGCAGATATTTCTCCAGGCAGGTCTTGGACTGTCTGCTCTGTCCCCGGATGGATTGGAAATGAAGGTCAATCTGGACAATTTGCGCTGCAATAAAAACCCGATCCTCCTGGACAAGAACGAATGCGAGGTTGCGGTGAAGAAATTTCTTGATCTCATTTATGTCCATCAACGGATCACTGGAGGGTCCAGTAATGCTCAAGACCCGAGACTGGGTCCGCTCATATGGCTCCGCTGGTGCAGCAGGATCCTTACTCCAAACGACGTTGACCGGGTGTCCTCCACTATGAAATTGTTAGTATTTGCGGCATGGATCATGTGTCAAAATCATCGAGTTGCCCTCAACCAGAGGAAATAGGGTTTTGAAAATTGCATTGAACAAAATCCGACTTACAGAACAATTCCATGAACAATGCTCTTGTTCATGTAGCGCTCAGCTGCGGCTCGGTCCATGAAGGTGATGGTAATGGCGCAGTACGGGTGTTTATCTTTGATGGGGTCTTTCTTGAAATATGAAAAGACAGGATCATTTATTGTCTGGAATACCTCCCAGTCGGACACCGAACGATCAACGGCCTTGATGAAAACGGCACAATTATCACCTGGGGCAGTAAGCGCATTCTTGACCATTCTCGCGCTGACTGATCCCTTATACTTGCATGTCTGGATATCGATACCAGCATGTGCAGCTTGATAAAGAAGGATGCTGCTAACTGCGGGTCTTAGTCCACCATTGACCATATAAGAAGGTTTGAATTCATCTTTTCGATTTCGCGAAGCGGCATGAGTGCCATTACCAGGATTGTGGTTGACGGCACCGTGAGCGTAACCCCCATTCATGCTATCGCTCATATTATGATCGGCCATCATCTGGTTATATCGTTGCAAGACATGGGAAGTGAAAGATTGATCATTCTCGCCTGGCATTGTTCCCAATGGTCGGGGGATGTTGAAATTCGGAGAACCGTTGTACCAATCAGCTAGCCGAACCTTTTGTGGCTGCGATGCGGATTCTGGGTGTCTCTTCAAAATCGGAAAAATGCCCATCAACCCAGTTCCACGGAATACTGTGCATGATTAGCTGGTGTCAAATGCAATAGTTTGCGGAACTCAAAATACCTCCGAGGGTGTCGAGAGCATCTTCGATCTGTTGCAAAAGTCCTCTGTTCTTCTTTGCACGATCCGTCCAATGGCCATAGAATGCCACTAAATTATCAGCAAGAGGCGCTCATTGAGAGATCTGTCTTGACTTGCAGTAAACCTCGGATTGATCTTCTTGTTCTCTCAAGTATCGCATATTTTCAATTGTCTGATGCTCCAGTCTGGCAATGCCATCCTTGGTCATGTTGCTTGTGAGGTCTCCTTCAATATTGTCACTTCCCCATGGAGATTCTATTTGGTTGTTACTATTGTATTATATACCTCATATTTGACTGAGGTTACTTACCCTGATTGCCTTGACCTCCGTTGGCGGTAATACCAGAGTTATTTCCTTCAAGTTGGTTCATATCGGCACTAAGTTGGTTCATATCGGCACTATCTCCATATAACTTACCAGCATTGTGTGGTGGTGGTATTCCAGTCATGGTAAAGTTGCTTCCATAGGAGGTGTCTGTCATTCGGTCAGTGTTTGAATATTTCTTCGGATGAGTGTTTCTTTGCTTACCACGAGAGTTTGGAAGGGAACCAGTGCCAAAGGAATCTGAATTTGTACGAACAGAACCTCCGTCGTCAGCTTGTCCAAAGCCATAGGGACTACCTGTGTATGCACTTTGTCGGACGTTTGGATTAGTGGCCTGGGGAATTCCCGATGCAGGAGCTCTGTTGCGGCTCTGAACGCCGGAACCCATCATTAGCACCTGTGGGGGGATTTCATTGGGGTATTCTGATGTTTTGTTAGTGTGGCTTTTTTCTTCTAGAGTGATTTGGAGAACTTGCCATAACGAGTCTGTCTGTTTTGAACGCCTCGTTGGATACCTCGTCGTGGTCGGAAGGCGGATTCAATGTAGCCCAAGGGATCCAATGTGGGACCTTCCTCTCCAGTCATGTTATAGGGGCTGCCAACATCTGTTGACTTGTTAGACACTTTTTTCTTTGGAAGGAGTTTGGCTTTTTACTTACGACGATATACTCCAGATCCGCCGGCCATGCTGGGAGTGGGTGCCGGGATCTTCACATTGGGTGCTTGCTGTGCTGCTCCGTAAATATTTGGATGCTGTTGTACTGGCGGCAATGGAGTAGAATTAGCTGCGCTAGTGCTAGCAGTTCCACGAGATGGTGCATTAAAACCTTGTGGTCGTCGCGCCCACAATGGAGTTGTGTTGAATGTGCGAAACTTGTAACTGTCATTCGAGTGGTCGTTCAATTGTCCGCTTCCACCAGCGAGTTCTTGCAATTGTTCTGCTGTCAGGGGAGTCGGGTTGGTTCTGCTGTAACCGGCTGGTGTTGCTATTGTCTCATCAGCCGACAGTTTCTTTGATGATGTATGTTTCAACCTACGTCCTCCAATTGGTCCAAAGTCCTTGAGTGGTCCTCGAACAAGTGGACTCCAATTTCGCATAAATGCTTCGGCTGCCTCGGCTCCGCCGTAGCCATTCTGGGGGTTGTCGACTTGGAGGTAGTTGTTGACTGTGGTGGCTTTGTTTACTTTGACTGTTTGTGTTGTTAACCTTCGTCCTTCTTTGATATATGTATTGGCTTTCTTACGTTCAAAGCCTATTGGTGTACCTGTGGTACCTCGTCCAGCTGAACCTTGGGGTTGCTCTTGGTGGTTCTCCTGAACTCTGCCTGGATTGTTGGGGTCCATCGTAATAGTGAACTGATGGACTAGTGGGTGACTGGTATGGGAGAGGTATGTTAAGGATATGGAAGTGATGATGATGCGCAAGGGTCGATACTATCAATAAGTTGTTGTTAGTATTGGTGAGATCTAGTAAAACCTTTTGTTGAAGGAAGGGGAGGTTGATCTTACCTTGCGTTGGTCGTTTGCTAAGTGGTGACTTGTGTTGTCAACAAGAGCCTGCGCAGAATCGTAAGTTGCGATCTAGAGAGATGGGTGTTATTGAAGTGTCAGTGAGAGCTATCAGGGATAGCTCTTGGAAGGCTTTGTGTGTATAGTGGTGACCTACCTTTTGTGCTTGAAGGGTCTTGTCGCGACAAGATAAACTAAGTCGCGATGAGAGCTTCAGATAGCTCAAAGAACTCACCAAGTACTGCTGATAGTCTGTCAGTCAAACCCTTCTAGTAGAAATCTCCTAGAAGTTATGTTTGTTTATGCGTATACATACATGTGTTTTCTGTTGATGCAAAGTACAGATGAAGGTATGATGGTACAGAGGTGGATGAGTAGTCAGGATGAAGGTGGATGGGAATCGTGTATCGAGAATGGATGATGGTTCTCTCTCAGTGGCACGTGTTATTTATACTCCATCTCAAGCAAAGGCCTCCACCAAACTTTAAGCTTCAAGCTTCAAGCTTCACGCATCTGCCCTCCACGCCTTGCTACATCATGTGACCGTCCATAGTCATGGTCATAGTGGAGCCAGGTACTATGGCAACAAGAGCAGCAGACATAGCCTGGATGAATCCTGGTCTGTGGTCTGCCCTGCTCTTTTTTGTTGACATACATACTATCTATTGGCTCTACTTACACGACGGAGTTCCCCTTTTGGGCATGGTGATGTTTTGCAGGCTGACGCGGAACATGGAGGTTCATCAGGGGCGCTTTGATAGGTTTAGCGAGGGGTGAGGGGTCGTCACGTGATGGGTGGTTTGTGTGCTAATGGGGCTTTCTTTGTTGATGGGTGACTGGTTGGGGGTGTGGGTCTGGTGTGCGTAGTTGCGGCTACTTGGGTCTGGAGGGGTATATGTGGTGCTAGTATTCACGCGAGATTTGTGGGTGCTTGGTGTTCGGTACGTTTGGTAAGTCATGGTTTCTAGCAGGTGGATTTTCCCTTGAGAGTTAGGGGAGTGACGAATGGTGTGGAGACGTGTCACACTCTGGAATGGGGGACTGTGGTAGCGTTTTGAAGCCCTTTGATATATTGTTTTTGGGGAGGTGATTTGGAGATACTTGTGAAAATGTGAACGAAGGAGGAGTTCACAATTGATACAATAGGTTGGTCACTTTTGAGATGTAGAAACTTTTCAAAGCTACAGGTGGGCAATGGAAGGATTTGGGTTCTTGGAGAAGCTACGCCTCTTGGATAGAATCGGCTCATGGATACTGGGGGGTTTGTGTTTCGTTTCGAAGACGCTGTCTGGGAAACGGTATTCTGTGTGTGATTTCAAACAAGGTGCTGAAAGTCAGTATCGTGTAAACTGTAAATGATAGCAGGTAGAAGTAGGTTTTGAAATGGAATTATTTCGCAAGGCCGCTGCAAGTGCAGTGTGGTGTATATGTGGTTTTTATTTTGTGGTTTCAGTGGTGTGCCGTGAGGTCTTTCTGTTTATATTATGGTATTGCTTTTTCATCATTGTAGCACATGAGAGTTTCGAGTTATATACATAGAAGCGGTATTATTCCAGGAAAATACTGGAGTTGAATATAGGGGCAAGTACGATATAAGGATACCCGAGGGACCAGGAGAAACCTTGTACGAGATGACCTTTCCTGCTCCACTAAATGTCTTTTCAAATGTTTATACAATGTCAATTTAGGGTTCATCTTTTTCACAGTGTTGGGGACGATCTTTATGGAATTGGGTGTGTTTTCCCAGTTTTTGTTGTTTTTTCCCCGACTTGAATTAACTAACACAGTACAGGAGATCTCCGAGCACGCCTTTCAATAATGAAGGCCCTCATCCAATAACAAAGTCCACATAAATCCCACGAAATCATCACAAGAAAATATCATACACGCCCAAACACCGATATATCCAGACATTCCTATCGCGCATTACCCATTCCCTCTTCTGGTCTATACCCGCGATCGATGTACCCAATCGTTCAGCTATTTAGGATCATCTCAGCACTTACATCTCCCTCGGAACGAAGACCAAGCGATCGAGCCATTGCATTAAGAGCAGCCGAGTTGCTTGCATTTGAAGCCCTACGAAGTAATCTGTGAAGACCTGCTGGCTTTGCAGTTGGGGTGTCTTCTGCTGCTGCGGGGTCGTCGGGGACGCGGGTTGCACGGTATGGTACCTGCGAAACAAACGAACTTGCGGCACCATAATAGCCTTGCGGTGCCCAGGGTTGACTCTCACCAGATGTTCCTCGTCCGGTCCTGTCCACTGGGTTAGGGATCGTGTCCTCTGTGGTCATTTGCGCCAAACGGAATTGGGGCGGGCCAGTTGCGCTTCTTGGTCCGCTACTGTCCTTCCATGAGCGGGAGGGAATATTCTCGAAACTCAATGGATGGCGTCTGACAGTACGCTTATTTTGGTCGGGGGTCTCCGGATCAGTCGATGAATATTCTTTGATCCAAGACTTGATGGCCGCCAACTTAAAGAGAGCATTTCGGACTCTCAGCGCAAGACCTGGATGGTCTTTCTCTAGATCATCCTTGGCAAATTCTGTTTGAAGTCAATAGGGGGAGAGATACCTGTAAATGTGTGTGTTTTCTTACTTCCGAGTATCGCCATATTCTTTTCAATTCTGCGAAGGCTCTCCTCAATACCATTAAGCTCCTTCAGTGTCATGCCTTCGTGGGGACCTATGGATCTTAGTCTGTCTGAAACACAAACAGATGGATGTGTCTTACCGCCAGGAAATTGCTCATTGAGCTCACGAACTGTTGTGCGTACTCGTACCTTGGAAAGCTTCTGGAAAAGGTCCACGTTACTATCAAAGCGTTTGTTGAATGCCTCCATATCGTCTGGTTGTCTGGTGACGGACAAGTTTGACGCGCGCAAAATGTGAAATTAAAAGACACAATGTGGTACACTGCGTTACGAGCGAAGGACTGTCATGCGCAGAATTTTGCGAAGAAGAACAAAAGGGAGATTGCTTGGTGCAGTAATCCCGGGGTTTTTATTCATGAACCAAACGCGACGGCGTGATGTTAGCGGGGCAATACCAGATTAGTTTGGAAGTCTTCACAACCACAACAAGCTAATCGGTTCGGGCCGGTTCCACTAGTGAATTGGAACGGCCCGCCTTTGTTGACATCAGCACCCTTCTTGCAAGTAAAAGTCGCATGTGGTCTGTGCACAACCTCCGCTAAGCGAGACCCTAAGTGGGGAAAGGGGGAAGTGAAGCATGATGGTCAAGGGCACTAAGTTTTAGGACTGGAATGGCTTCAGTCTAATCACTTATTTACATTTGAATCTTGACTATAGGAATTTTCGGACCGGAAAAGTGGATTCCTGGCTTAGGCAGATTGTGTTTTGTATTTAGGGGCATGGTCTCAAAAGCGCCTAGAGCGCATTAATGTTTTACATCATGGGTGCATTGGCTGGCTTGCAGCCTAATTTATAAACTGTTTTATCTGGACTACTGCGAGTGCAGTGTTCTTCTTGTCGTGGCACTTTATGTTTCAAAGATAAGAAATTATGTTGATTACTATGTACTAGTACAATGTAATCACATCAATCATTTTCAATGGGTTTCCTCAAATCCTGCTGTGACATGGTTGCAATAACACTCCTACAGGGCTTGGAATTTGCCCGACCGGAAAAACAAAGAACAAATCCAGTCCCCCTCCATTTGTTAGTGCAGCCTGTGCCTAAGCAATTTGTCTCTGTACCTGGGTGCCAGAGAACAGTTGCTGGTCATAGTTGGTTTGATCACAGGGATCTGGGCCGTACTGGACCTTCCAGTCATATCCATTTGTACGAATGATATCCATGATCAAAGCCATTGCTTGTCTGCTTTGACCAACGACTTTGTCAAATACCAGTTCAATACCTGTGGTCAATGTATTGTACTCCATATAACGGTTTGCTTCATGTAGCTCAAACTCCATCTGCTCCTTCAAAAGGGCAACCAGATCCTTGCAGTTCACCTCTGGGTCTTGTCCGGAGATTCGAAGCACTCTGCTTGAATTAAGTTCGTCTGGTCTGCATGGGTAGACTGGGTTTCTGTTCCATTCTACCTTCACAACCTCCTCACCAAACTTCAGACCATGGGCGTGACATTTGTTGAGATATTGCTCGGCAATATATCTCTCTTGAAAGACAATCTTTGCGCCACACTTCTCGAATCTTCCAGATACGGGATCAACCTTGTAGAAAGACCAAACCTTCCCCTCGGTGATGGTGGCAAAGATGTCCTTTGTAGTGACCCAAGTCGGAATTTGTGACATCCAGATTGCACAGTTGATATCTGCCGGGCAACTGGCATTCTCGATTACCGTCTTCGGATCTCCTTGATACTTCTGTACTCCTGCGTAGCCAAGAGTCAAAGCAAGTTGACGATTGGGTCGTGGAGCTCCGCTCTTCTGGTAGGAAGTTCGAAACTTTCCGGGTCTGCCATTTTGGAGTGGGTTGTATTTGCTACCTACTGCAACTGAAGATCTGAAAGGTTGAAAGTTCGGTTCTTGCTTCACAATAGAGTGGCTGAGGCTGTTTGTACCGTTGACGTAAGGGATTTGGTTTCGCCTAGGGGTGCTTGGCACAAGCGAGAGCTCATTGTTTGTCGTTACCTGGAGTTGGTTATTGTATACGAGACTTGCTTGGGATCGGGTGCGGAGAGCGTTGGTGTGTTGAATTTCACGAAGCTTGGGATGTGGGGTTTCCATCTCGGTCTCGTCCTTGATATTTTTATCCCAGGAGGTGTGTTTGGTGCCTGCTGACATCTTTGGGAAGACTTGACGAAGTCCACCCTCGGGATATTCTTTGAAACGTATTAGTTGATACATTTTGAAACGCAAGGATAAACATACTGCACATGTCAATAAGTATTAACATGACACCCAAAGTCATCTCTTGGATTTCAGGAGACGATTGCAAGGCATCACTGGTACCTCCATCTAGTAGGCGCATTAGATTTCCTCCATTTTGTAATTCTGTTTCATGGACTTACTGCTTGCAATGTGGGTCTGAAGGTGTCGGATAGAGGACTCGATCATGTCGACGTACATGCCACGATGCTGTGTAGGCGCTGCAAGGGCAGGTAGATTACTACCATTTTCATTGCTGTGATAGGCGAGACCTGCAACTAGAGATATGTCAGGACATTATGTTACATATATACCACCATCAAGGGAATATATGCTTCTGCTTGGGTCATTTACCTGGCCGTGTACGAGGAAATTGGGAGTATCCATGGTATTGAGCTACCTGGTGGTAAGCCCCAATGTTTTCTTGGTTGAACGACATAATTTTCATCAGATTCTGCAACCAGATCTTGGAGAACCTTTTGCCGAAAATCTGAGTCGTGTGTCCCGATACTGATCAGCGACAACAAAAGAGCTTTGATGGGGGTGTTGATTCAAGTTGTTGACAATGGAACGAGACTGGAAAGAGCCAGGAAGCGCGCAAGCATTTGTAGACAATAAACTATCTAAGTGCCCGGTCCATCAACACACCAGAGCTAATATTAGACACCAGGTTTAAAGCCCCACCTTATGAACAGGTTTGAGCTTTTACTGGCTTTTATGTACACTCTTGAAATTCACTTGAGCTTTGTTCCACTAGCAGTGACAAGCACCATGGTCTACCAAAGTTTGACATAGACTAGGGTCAATAAACAAGAAAGGGATAACAGGAACAGTTCTGTGGGGATGGGTCTTCTTGGCACAACCACACACAGCTTTGGGCACCTCCCGTGATACAACAAATCTATATCAAACGTTTCTCCTCCTGTATTCATCCACCACTACTGAGAGAACACTTTCAACACTTCTTTCTTTAAAGCGCGCCAGACGTCATATTTCCCTACGCAAATCTCATCCAGTAGGGAGCAGACCACAACAACTATGCATTCTTCCCGTTCTGGCACACACTCAAAATCTTCCTATGAAGCCTCTGACGATAGAGGCAAGCAACTACCCAAAGTCCTCGAGTATTACTTTACTCTAATTGCACATTAGGTGTACCCTTATACTACGATCAACCATCCATGTCCCATAAAACTAACGCTCATCGCGCCTCTAACAGCACAACCTTGAACTCTACGTTTGTTGGCGAAGAACAAAGTAATGATCTTAACTCTCTCACCCTTCATAATGTACTAACTTCAGGCCGGTAGAACTAGATAATTATCATCGGTTTGATTGTTCTAGACCAAGAACTATTCCTCGAAGCTCTCTTTATCCAAGCAGCATTGCATACACGTCAAGTCAACCAGGCCAAGGTTACTTTAACAAACCTCCGGCACCGCAGACCTATGAATCTGCAATGAGTGGTGGTAAGTCAAAACAGTACAATAGCTCTCATGATAGCAACTGATTTGAGAAAAGTTCACGCACCGACGCGAGCGAAGCGCCGTAACAATATGACTTCGAACCACTGGAATGACAACAACATCCACCACATGAATAAAATGGCCGTTCCAAAGACTTCAACTAATCCTATTAACGGAAACATCTTGAACCCTTATACAGAAGGAAATATTCAACCGCAGTATGCCAGAGTTGGTGCTAGTAAGTTATGTAAGGTTTCGCTTAGATTCCAGGCACTGACCTAGTGGAAGTTCAACATCGGGCGCAGGATTATACGCGAAACAATTTTAAATTGACCACACCTGTTCTTGAGATACCCCTGAATTCGAATGCTATGATTATGCCTGTATCGCGGTCTGAACCTGGTATCTGAACCTGGTAATATGAATCGTGACAATCGCCACCCTCGAACTCGACTAGAAGCTCAACAAGATCCAAGAATTGGAGGTGTCTACCAGCAAGTGCACGGAGTTTCACCGGAGAGAACAATATCGCGATACCTTTCCAACCTTCATACCAAGTTCTTGGCATGCCAAAGGGTGTCGACCATCATGCTATTCGAAAGGCTGCCAGTCTCTATACTGATATCAACCCTAGATACGAGGGCGAAATCAACGATCGTTTCCTTCAAAACAAAGAATGTCCAGATAATCAAAACTGCTCTCTCTGGTTGACTGGGATTCCTACAACGGCTACGGACAAGGAAGCTCTCACAACTGTTACAGAGGGTAAAGGTTTTTCCTTCAATCGCAAAGCTCCGGTCTTCGGGAGATTCGACAAATGCGCCGCCGACCTGACTTTCTTCGATCGCCAAACCGCTGAGTGTTACATTCTCAAAGCCGAACAGCAAGGCGTATAAATTAACGGACACCCCATATACGTTATCTGGAACAAGAATCGAAAGTTGCCGGCACAACTATGTGAGCAGGACCAAACAAGAGTCGTGAAGGTTCGTGGTAATCACTCATTCGTCAACGAGAACCAGCTCGAGGATTCGTTGCATCAAGATCTTGCCTTTACACTCGTAGATAAATGGGACTTTCTGGATGTTGACAGTATTTATGCCGTTGTTCTCGAGTTTGGGAAGGTTCTGGGCCAAAGTCGGGCAGCAGTTATAGGCTTCGGAAGGAGGTAGAGCGACTCGGAATCACGGATCAGGTCACTGTTTCCTACGGAGTAGATCCATGCGATACGAGCTATACCCAATTCTTCCTTGGTTCATAGTCTCTGGAGGGGGTTTTGAGGTTGGTAATTGAATCCTGGGAGCGTTCTTGCAATATCTTAAATTGGTAGCTGCAAGAGTTACCAAGAAACAAAGAAAAGACATAATAGGTGATCGAAGTACCACAGAAAATCAATTACATTATCATTTATAGTTCCAATCAATGTGATGATACGTGACTGAGTATATCTTCTCGTATGTGTGCCTACAATGTCTTATTGGCTGTTCCTATATCTCGGGTACATTGTTTACGTAGATCCTCTCATATGAAGAAAGTAGAAGCATAATTAAGCTTCGATTCATGCGCGCAAAATGTTTGCGTTTCAGTTATAGTATCTACGGAGGCTAGAGGACTGGGAAACTGGTTTAGGATAGGAAAGTTCTACTTCATGACTCAATCAATTCAAGGACCTCGAATGATTGAAGGAGATATTCGAAAACACCAATGAAGTTAGTATTACATTCTTGGCCATGTGCCCTTGTGATTGTATATTTATACCAGCACCCCTAAGTTTTCACTTGCCTACTTCAAGCTTCTACGCGCATAACCCCAACCACTTTCTACGTGATAGCTGCACATTTATTGTTCAGCATATGTGAGGGTACAAGGAGCACGGGAAAATGATCAGAAAAGTCATTTAGCACTTCTTGCATTCCCTGGTAGTTATGTAAGTCTAACATATGTAAATGACACACAATTGCACAGTCCGCGAGCACATATTCATGAGCATTTCAATCCTCTCGGTGGCAGACCTGAGTTAGGTTCAGAGAATATGTGGTAGGTTTGGTGGTGCGCAATCTCTCTGAGTAGCTCTCGCCTATCCGAGGCGACCATGTTACAATTTGTGGCACTTCCCTTGCCGCGTCTCCTTTTCCATGCTCCAATTCAGTGGAAGATTTTGTATAGTTACTTGATGGCCGCCTAAGAAGTAAAGTGAGTGATCAATACAGGTTTGAATTGAAGATTGTAGAATAATCTCTAACGTTGACTTCTCTGACCAGATACGCGCAGCTTTGGTAGCTCTATTGCTGACTTCCAAACACTCCAGGGTTAATGCAAAAGACGCGCCATTCTACAGAAGCACCAGCCAAATGGAACGGAGGGGCTGCGGTAATAGCAGGAGATGAACGCGTCGTGTAGTATTTCGAGGTGAATCTCCTTTTCCAGCCACCAAAAAAAGTCCCAAAAAAGTTTTTATTAATACCGAAGTATTTTTGTGCAGCAGACAAGTCTGTGCGCACCCACAAGGGGTGACTGTAAATTAAAACAATCTGTAGACAATCAACAAACTAATACATATGGAGAGAGAATATACCTTGATAAATTCTGAAAATTCTTGTAAAGTCAAGAGAAACTGGACATTTTCAGCTCTCCAGACTCTTCAACATAGTAATAACACTCCCACATCTTACTGGCATTCATCGAAGCTGCCATTATTGAAACGATAAAAAGCAACAATTTTCTTCATATCTTCCTGCTATTCCACACAACTTTTTCGAGGAAAACTTTTCTTCGAATTCCATCAATCCCGCTCAACCAAACGATAGCAGCTAGAATTTCAA